CTTGGTACACAGGCCATTTTCAATAAACATTTGCTTTTGCAAATAACAACATTTGCACCTATTTTACTATCACTTCACCTATTACCTAATAGATCTCATCAAATATGTTCAGGCCTTATAATGAATGGCACATCACAGATTGGGGCCTTTCAAACATAGTATGTCCTGGGATTCTTGACATGCCTCAAGAAATGGTACTGTGAAAGATCCAAAGAAGTGTTTGAAAGGATCTGGGCCCAAGACAGTCTGGGATTACTCCCCCATGAATCCCACCCTGCCCCAGAGGCCTTCTCAGTACAGATCTACTCCAGTTTCACACTAGACTCCAGAGTTGAGTGGTGTTACACTTTCACTGATCCTTCAGGAGACTCTTATTTGTTGGAATGCACAATGGGGTAGGTGTGAAATTACCTTTCTTGCAAGGTGATCACACCGATAATCCTAGCTATTCAGTAAGCTGAGATCTGAGGGTCGAGGTTCTAAACCAGCCCAAGCACGACAGTCTATGAGACTTGTCTCCAATTAATTACCAAAAAACTGGCAGTAGAAGTGTAGTTCAAGTGGTAGAGTGCCAGCTTTGAGCAAAAACGTTAAGGGGCAGGGCCCAGGCCTTGAGTTCAAGCCCCAATACAGCATTTCTTACTTTATTCCTTAATTCTCTTTTCTTTTTTTTTCTTTTTTCTATTTGGCTGTTGTGGAGTTTGAACTCCGAGCCTGGGCGCTCTACCACTTGAGCAACAGTACCACTTCCAGTTTTCTGGTAGTTAATTAGAGATAAGAGTCTTACCAACTTTCCTGCCTGGGCTGGCTTTGAACTACATTTCTCAGATCTCAGCCTCCTTGGTTAGCTAGGATTATAGGCATGAGCCACCAGTGCCCAGCTATTTTTTTATTCTTTATTCCTAGTCCATTATGAGACAGCCCTGAAAAGGAACCATAATGCTAAAATAACAAGGAAGTATTCAACAATGACCAATTCAAGTTCATGTTGTAGTGTTGACTAAGATTTGTGAAATCATTTTCTACTTTATCAAGCGAGAATTATGTCCATTGCAATTTTATAACACCCTCAGAGAGGCCAAGTGAGAAAATGAGATATGAAAGCATTGTATAAATGCTAATTGCTTTTTAAAGGCATTAATATAGCCCTATATTGGTTCTCATTATTCTCAAAGGATTAAAAAGACACTAAAAATTTCTCCAAATTCAAGGACTATAACTCATAGCCTAGGCTTTTCTCCAGTTTTTCCATTCCGTTTCTGACACCTCTCAGGAACATTCAGAGAATTAGACAAGCTCCTATTTTCACTGAAAGTAATATGTTCATCCCAAGGCAATAACATTAATAATATGTGTTGAGTACTTACTATCTGCTCAGCATTGTGCTAAAATCTTCATATCCAAAATCTTAAAACTTTACTCCAGGAAAGAATCTTATTTCTATTTTGCTCAGGAGTAAAATAAAACTCAAAAATTTAGGTTAATCGAGTTTTCATAGTTTTAAAGTTGGCAGTTTGAAACCAGGTCTGCTATTTTTTTCTTTCTTTCCTTTTCCTTTTCTTTTCTTTTTGCAGTACAAGGGCCAACCCTTTGCTCACCTTGCTCTAGTGGCACTCAAGCACTTGAACCATGACTCCAGTCCAGCTTTTTGCTGGTTATGTTGGAGCTGTAGACTCTTCTACCTAGGCAGGCTTCAAACTGTGATCTGCCTGATCTCCATCTCCTGAGTACCTAGCATTACAAATGTGAGCCACAGGCTCCCAAGTTAGTATGCTTTTCTTAGATCTAGCTCCTCTCTCTCTCTCTCTCTCTCTCTCTGTCTGTCTGTCTCTCTCTCTCTTCTCTTTCTTTCTCTCCCTCCCCCTCCCCCAGAAATAGTCTCAACTGACATTAAGTCTATGAATGTGGAGACTCACTGGAATTTTACATAGAACAAATGTTTATCTCATTAGTCTTCAAAAATAATTCTTTTCAAGCCTTACTCTGTACAATAGCAATTACTTTTATTTATTTAGAAATGAATAAATGATACTTGTATATTACATTGTATAAATGATACTTGTATATTGTATAATAACCAAATAGACATCTTTGAGAGCCATAAATAATACCAAAATACACATCATTGACAAATATGGTCTCCTAATTGTAAGGTCCACCCTGGGAAGGCAGACTCCTCCCTCCTCTTGGTTAAGTCTCCGCCCAGTACCTGTGTCACCTAGGTAACCAACACCCTTGGAGGCAGTAACCTCCCCCTCCTCCCCAGGTCACATCTGCATCCCATGTGGCCACACCTTCTTCCACCCCTGACCTTGGTAAGACAGGCCTGGCTGTGATTCGACCCTTTTTTTCTATTCCTGCTTCCTGGCCTTCCAACTTGACTAGAGGCAGCCTGCAAATAAACCTTTCCCTTGCCTGAATACCATGTGCTGATCTCTTTCCTCAGCTGCCAATTTAATTTACCTAACACTAATGGCAAGAGTTGAATTTTTCGTGTTATTTAAAGTAATAAAGAATAAAGGGGAAAAAATATATGAGAATGAAAAAATTGCATGGACTTAGCCATTTCTGGGATTACAAATCCCAGCTCAAATCCTCACTCTACTACAAATCCCTACTCTACTACAAATCCCACTCACTACCTTTATCACTTGCCAAAGTTAATCATTTAAGTTTCTGTTTATTCGTTTATAACATGAGAATGCTGACACCTGCATTTCACCCTGCTATAGTAATGTTTAAATTTTATAGCATATAACCTGTAAAACTTCCAGAAGAGGTTTGGGAGCTGCTGCTTCTCTTTAATGCTGCTGGAAGATAACTTTGTCAGTTCATGAATAAGTCCATGAGGAAATAGTCCCATAGTTCACTAAAATTATAGATCAATCGTCCTCTATCTAAAACTATTTAAAACACTTGTGGTCAGACACACCCACAAACAGAAACTAGAGATAAGAAGAGGATTTCCCAAAAGAATACATAATATGGTGACAAACCAGGACTTTGTAGCACAGGGAAGACTTGGGCCAGGTATACAAAATAAAATTTGAACAGACCCCAGAAGTGACTACAACACCACAGGCACCTGGCAGAGGATAGAAAAGACTGTTTTCCTCTTAATTCCAATTGCCCACAAGCAACTGGGACCTTGTCCTTCAAGGTAGTGGTTGGGTTTCAATTGTGGAGCTGTATGGACCAAGGTCCAAAGTTTGGTCCAAGAGGATGAGTTTGGAAAGTTGCTTGACCTCCTGGAACTAACCAGGATAAGTTCATTCAAGAATCTACTCCTCAAGTGGAACTACTTAAGTCAGATGGTAAAAAATGAACAGAAACCTATATAGAAAGCTCTCAACACATAATAAGTGGTCTATAAAGATGCAATTTAATAACAGTAATTTAAAGTTTGCTGCCTGAATTACATTCTGAATATAAGGTTTTAGGAGTGTGAAAACACACACACACACACACACACACAGGACCAAAGAGCTCTTTTGTGAGCTGTTGTGGGCCTTTTCCCCCTGGTTTACTCTTGCTGTCATTTGGACCTTCCTCCCACAATTTCCTCAGAATGGCTGGTTGAGTGAAGAGTTTTGGACAGCCAAAGGAGTTCCAAGGAAGTGTGAGAGAAACAGATCCTGGACTCTGGACAAGGTTAGAAAGACCCTAGAGCCAATTGATGAAGGCAGAGCCAAACACAAATTAGCTTGTTTCCTGGAAAATTTCCTAAGATCTCTGCCTTTAGAGTACCAAAAGTGCCCTGACAAGGTTCCAGAAGGCACTTCTAGTATCAGTACCTCAAAAATACTTCATGACCCCACCCACACTCAGCTCTCCTTTTCAGCTGCTTCCAGAACATACCGCTAGCCATAGTGCTGCATTATTTTTACATTCCAGTCCTTGCCTATGATAAAAATTCCCAGCCTCTTGTTTTTCAAACGTATCTGGCACCAGCAGCTCACACCTGAAATCCTAGGACTGAGGAGGCTGAGTGCTGGAGGGTCACTGTCTGAAGCCAGGTAGACAGAAATGTCGGGAAGACTTTGTTTCCTATTATCTAGCAAAAAGCCAAGGTGGATGTGTGGCTCAATTGGCAGAATACCAACTTTGAGCAAGGAAGACCAAGAACTGAAAGCCCTGAGTTTGAGCCCAGAGTTGGCAAAAAAAAAAAAAAAATAACAAGAAGAAGAAGAATCTGTAAGAATCAGATCTGAAAAGAAGACCATGCCAGTATCAGGTTCCTTGTTCTCAACCACTATCCATGCACAGGTTAGTACAATCTTTAGCAAAACTGCTAGTTGAACCAATTTACTTAAAGTATTTCTGTATTTATCATGGAAATATTTGCTCTCTACAAGGATAAAAGAATTTATCAACATAGTAAACTATCATTTTTCTAATGTAATTAAAGGAACCACTTTATCTGGAACATGTTGATTAGTTACTGGTCAAATTATGTTCAGATCTGAAAGATGCAATGTAAACATGTACAAATAGACATTGTCATTTTATAAGAAAGTAGAATTCTACATTGCACTCTTCTCAGGATTTGTATAAGCGAATTCTGATAATTTTATGCAGTTTAGTGTACAGATAAATTAGGTACAATGTGTACAACATAGGATATCATGGGTGTACACTAATAACATAATTAACACACAAAATTTGTTACTACTCAGAAAAAAATGTTCGTGAAAAACACTGAAAATGAGATACTGTCGACATGTTTACAGAAACCATGATTGTAACTTAACCACTAATCTCACCTTCTATACACTTGTGTTAGGCTTACATCCTTGCATATAGAACATGACAATACCTGACAGCAATCCAGAAATAACCTACTAATGAATTCTTTTATTTGAAGCACGGAAGTACACACCTGTAATACCTACTGCCTGGACACTGAGGCAGGACGAATATAAGTTCAAGGCCAGCCTGAACTACAAAGTGAGAGGCCTTGTCTCAATAAAAACAGGCAAAGAAAGAATTATTTTACTCACCATCCTGTAATTTTTTTGTACAGATGCTGCTTCTTGTATAAGAGAACTTTTATGGGAACCCAAATTAATAGAGTTACTGAAGCCACATAGGCAATGGAGCAGGAGACAACCAGCCAGTAGTGTGTTTTATCCGAACTCTGCTTTGTCTTTTGATAAGCAGTGGCAAACTGTTCCATCATCACCAGGGTGGGAATGGAGAAAGCAGCAAGCTCCAGAAGCTCAAAAACCACCAGCTTAATGATCCTTCCAGAAGCCATATCAAGGAACAGCAAGCTGTGGGGGCCCACGGCTTCCTGTGATTGCGAGCAGCAGATGGACACACAGACACTGAACAAGGCCCAAGTTCCTTGTACTCCAATCACTAGCCAGCCAGTTTATTCTTTTATTGACCCTTACATGGTTCAATGATCTCCTAACTTAACAACCATGGTCTCTTAAAGAAACACGGCCATTGTGGAAATGGATCACTAAGTGTATTTGCACAGCCATTATTAGAAACCAAATGAACTAGCATGCATGTCTTGCAACACTGGTAAAAACAAAAGTTTTTTTAAATATTATTTTTAATATTATTATTTTAATATTATTTTTATTATTCAACCCTTGTTAAACAGAGCCATTGGAAAGTTGCAATTTTAGAATCATGAAGAATAGCTGTTATTCAATCCTCTCTTTTTATGTCTAAGTGAATTTAGGCAAAGAGAACATACTCAGACTTTAAGTCTCTTCACAGAGAACTACATGCCTCCCTCATTCTTCTTCAAAGCATTTAAAAAGGGAGTTTAGATTCACTTTGGATCCTTTCTGATATTTATGGTATTTATTCACTATCATACACCTAGGGGAAATGTTTCCTTTGCGGTCAGGAAAGTAGCAGGGTGCTATGTGAGCCTCTTATCAGTAACATATTAACAATGTTGGTATCTAGTCTAAAAGCATATCCAAATATTTAAAGAACAATTGTGTCCATGAATATCCTTTCTTCAGAAAACATATTTTAGTGCCCATGATGAGCATTTTCCAAGGTGTGAGGATATAAAGTTGAATGAAAGATAAATCTTCCTGCCCTGAAAATGTTCAAGCTACAATGGAGCAAACAAGCCTATAAACAACACAAAAGGATAAAGGTCAAGGCGGGGCACAGTTGGCTCACACCTATAATCCAAGTGACTCAGGAGGCTGAGATCTGAGTATTCTGGTTCCACACTAGCCTGGGGAGACAAATCTGTGAGACTCTTATCTCCAATTAACCACTGCTAAGTCCAAAGTGGCAACCAGGTTCAAGTGGTCCAGCACTAGTCTAAGTGGAAAAAGTTAAGCAAGAGGAACAAGCCGAGTTCAAGCCTCTGTACTGGTACTAGGAAAGAGAAAAAGATACAGATAGACAGACAGTTAGAGACAGAAATAGAGACAGAAAGAGACAGAGATAGAGGAAGAGACTGAGACAGAGACAGAGAGATAGACAACAAAAGTCAGATGTATGTACCAAACGCTATCTTTTTTTGTGGGGTGGGAGGGGTAAGGGGGGGGTCCAGTCATGGGACCTGAACTCTGGGCCTGGGCGCTGTCCCTCAGCTCTTCAGCTCAAGGCTAGCACTCTACCACTTGAACCACAGAGCCACTTCCGGCTTTTCTTCTTTTTGCTTATGTGGTGCTGAGGAATCGAACCCAGGGCCCCATGCATGCAAGGCAAGCACTCTACCACTGGGCTACCTTCCCAGCCCCCTGAACGCTATCTTAACACACAAACGAACTTCCATCTTTGGGCTGAGGAAAGAAAAAAGGATGACCAAGATGGATGATAATAGAGGTTTTCCACTGAGTTTCAAATGAGTGTGGCATTCAATGCCTAAACCATACACGTCCATGAATGAGTTAGGGTTTCCTGGCAAGAAGAGCAATGTTGTCTGCACAAAGGAAAGGAATGCTGCTGCTGATAGGGATGAAGGACAGAAGGAGCTCTTCCAGGAGGCAGAGAAGGTAACCAGGAGCCCAAGAGAAGGTTAGGCAAGAGAAGGCTCAGGACACACACATGGATTGGGAGTGAGGAGGAAAGCAGTAGGTGACAGACCCTGACTCTGGTTCTTCTTCTTTTGTTTTTGCTGGTACTAGACATTAAATTTAGGGCCTGACCCCTTGAGTCAAACCCCTAGTTTCTGCTTTTAGTTTATTTATTTATATAGACTGGTGCTTTCAGCTGGGCCAGCCTCAGATTATGATCTACTTCCCTCCACCTTCCCTGCAGCCGAGATTCCAAGGAAGGAACTATCATGATTATAAATGTACATTTATCCAGAGAGATGCTCATGTCATTGGAAACAGTGCTATTCCTGGGGGAACGGAAAAGGGAGAAGAAGGAAGGGGATTTTTATTTTACCTTTAATATTGTCATAGTTTGACAAGCATAGAAATTAGCAAGTAATTTTAGACTGAGACAGAACTACGCTGTTTGAAAGTAATATCCTGTAGTAACAACTGTATGCTCCATTTGTTTACTGTTTCCTTTACTCGTTTCCCTTCCTAAGGAGCCATGAAAGTCAACCATGTCAAGACAGGGTAAAGGAGAAAATCACTACTTTCTGGCAGTTCATTTGACACTGAACTCAATCTCCTTCTCCTACTATCACAAAGGAGAACTGGAATGACCTTCACCAAATGACCCTCACATGAAACATTTCCTTGTTTTGTGTGTTTCAAAACTCCTTTGAAAGACTTCTAGGGCCCTAGTTATCTCCCAGTGCTATTGGTTCACATACTAAGTCCCCCTTCAATGGCAGCAAAAGCCTAAGTAAAAACAATTTTGAAAATAATTGTGATTTAAGAGAAATTCTGTTATCTACTTTTAGTTCTTTCCTGTACCACTTTATGTCTCCCTCACTTATCCTTGAGCAGACTCTCGATAAACAAATTTTACTACTACTTATCCTTTTGATCCTTTCATTTTTGGCATTCATCTTGGTGTCATTGCTTCTCAGCTTGGTGTCTAGCACATAACAAGTATTTCTCACATGGGAGGAAGGAATGAAGAAATAAAATATCAGAGAAGAGAGAGGTAGTAGGGAGGAATGTGGGACTTCAATTATGGCCAACTGCTCTTTTATTTCAGGGATGTGCTGTCTCTCACACTGACATTTCAAAAGAAGAAATCATATACTGTCTGTTCCAATATAATCTACATACTCGGTTCACACACTCTGTTTCTCCTTGGTTCTCTCCTTACCTTTACAGACCATGGTCCCCATTACAACTCAGGAGCCATGGAGCATTCAAAGAAAGACAGAAAAAAAACAAAGTCCTCATGCATTACAGAATTGACTACTCTCACGTTAGGAAAAGACTATGGCCCTTTCCAAGATGCTGATGCCACTTACAGTCTCTCTTGGCCTTTTATACTTCATTTAGCCTCAAAAATTAATCTTTTGGGGCTGGGAAGGTGGCTCAGTGGGACATTGCTTGCCTTGCATGCATGAGGCCCTGGGTTCGATTCCTAAGCACTACTTAAGCAGAAAAAGCCAGAACTGGTGCTGTGAGTCAAGTGGTAGAGTGTTAGTCTTGAGCTGAAGAGCTGAGGGACAGTGCTCAGGCCCAGAGTTCAAGCCCCAGGACAAAAAAAAAAAGAATCTTTCAGCTGGGAACTGGTGTCTCACACCAATAATCCTAGTACTCAGGAGGCTGAGATCTCAGGATCATGACTCAAAGCTAACCCAGGCAGAAAAGTCATGAGACTCCTAACTCCAACTAACTTCCAAAATGCCAGAAGTGAAGGTGTGGCTGAAAGTGGTAGAGTGCTAGCCTTTATCAAAATTAGCTGAGGGATAGCACCCAGGCCCTGAGTTCAAGCCGCAGAACCAAAACAAAAATAATAAATTTTCCATTCTCGGTGCTAGTGACTCATGCCTGTAATCCTAGCTGCTTAGGAGGCTGAAATCTGAGGATTGTGGTTCAAAGCCAATGAAGACAGGAAAGTCCACAAAGCTCTTATCTCCAATTAACCCCTCAAAGGCCAGAAGTAGAACTGTTGCTCGAAGGGAGAATGCTCAGGGACAGTGACCAGGCCCTGATTTCAAGCCCCAAGACCAACACACACACACACACACACACACACACACACACACACACACACACACATCTTCTACAGTAGATTTGAGCATCATCAAAAGGAGCTGGAGGGAACTGTCTGGCATTTGTTTGGCAGGCAGGGAAGACTACTTTGTGAGTGACAGAACAATCAGCTAGTTTGGCAAAGAAAAAGAATACCATTATGCCAACATTAAGCTACTAGAAAGAAATAATGCCAACACCTAATTTGGAGATAAATACAAAGGGAAATGAGATAGGGCTTAAAATCACCTACCTTTTAGTGGGAACACATTAATTCTAGTTGTGATTCCTTCCCTTCTAAATGCCTTGGCAAATCTGCCATGGAACTGCCCTGTCAGTAACTGGAAGGACACAGAGAAGGGCATTTTCAATTCACTCAGTTCTTTTCTTGGATCATCTAATATTGATTTGAGCACCCTGTGCCTTAGCTGACTTTTATACTGGGTTTAAGAACTTCCTGGTAGAAAACACATTTGGTTTTCTGAAGCTGGATCCGGGGTGGAAAGACTGAGTCTTGTGGTTAGAATTCACTTCCATGTAGGAGTGTTGATGCAGTGTTTTTTATTTTAGTAAGCAGAAGATATCATTCTGTCCAAAGCAACACCTGTTCTCCACACTTCCAACTGTCACTTCCTTCCTGCAGGCAGGAAGTCAAAAATCGAAATTCTCTGAAATTGTTAGCAAGATCATTTGTAATCTTGAGATCTGTTCATTGTTTTCAGCCCAGGGGCTGTGAAACATAATGTACAGATTGCCAGGAATGTTCTGGCATGTCCGGGGTTCGTTTCCTGTGATCTTTTGGTGTTGATGTGTAAAAGGGCAGGAACTGGTGGCAGTGAACAGCTCTCAGGATCAAACAGGATCTACAGAGAGCCTGGGGAAGAGGTGAAAGCGTGTCCCTGTGCTTCACGTACTGATTATTTACAATTTCCAAAGGGTTGCTGATCCTTATAAGCAGGTGCTACCAAATAAATCACCTGGAGTAAACTTAGTAAGATAGGACACTCTCAGCCATCATCTCTAGGTTATACTAAATTGGTAGTATCAGATACAGTCTGATTTTTATCTGTCTAGCTATTAAATAGTAGAATCACTTATCATAAGCACAAAGATGATACTGTATCCCCTTCTGTATCCCTATCATAACTAGTGACTCTCCTTGACACTAAAAATCA